GCACTTATTCCTAGCATGCAAATCCTGTTCAACACACACAACAACACAGCATATTTGCTTATCAATTTCATTTTATGTATCTTTACATTCCAGCAATATATTTACATAATGTTTAATCTAAGTCCAGCACTTTCTTTTCCTACTTTCCAGCAAGTAGTTCATAGCTCTTTTAATTGCAAGTCCTGCACTTTCAATTTCGTTCTTCTTTCCACTAGCATTAGAACATTCCACCTGGCCTTTCCATAGGACTCCATGTGTCCCACGTTTTGTTTTTCCTTCGTCGACGTGCATGGACTCTTCTTTTTCTGTTATTCTGTATTACATTTAGATACACAAAAGTTGATACATATATTGGTTCATGTGCACGTTTCTTCCTTCAATCCAGCAATCTTCAGCAATTAGAATTTCCACCTGGCATGTTTCCATAACGCCAGGTGTCCCACGATATGGTTGAATGGTTGGAACATCCCTAGAATGTAGGAGAGAATATAGCACCATATTACCACCTTCTTTTGTGACTCAGTCAATCCACCTCGCGATATTTTAGGAGTTACTAGGTGGCAATTGCATTCCACACAGATTCATCTTAATCTGGTGCCATATGGCAATATTTGAATGGATCCTTTCCAAAACGTAATTGCAACATAATAGTGCATGCCAAGTATCAATGTCATCTTTCAAAGGATTTAACAAGATATGGCAAGTTCTATGGAACTCACTACATGCATCCTTCTTATTGGTAGACAATTTCTCTCTTGATTTTTACCTTATGCACGAGTCTACATGGCAATACTTGAACGATTTATCCTACATGGTGTAAAGTCAACTTTAATGTCTCATGATGCCATAATATAACTTCTTTTCCAAATAACTAGGCAATAATCCAGTGTAGCAAGTTCACTAGAACTCGCCACATGTCGTCTCTCCATTTGTCCAAAATAATGGGATAAACAATTGGTCTTTTTTTGAAGTTGCTCTATCGCCAGGAGATTGTGGACGAAGTTCCTGATTCTATGGTGTGGGTTCCCTCTTCCCAGGGTCACTTTGAGGTTCAGTCACTCTATAGGTGTCTTACGGATGCTCTAGGGGTTTCATTCCCGTATAGGGCTATTTGGCATTCTAAGGCCCCTCTCAAAGTTGCTTTCTCTGCTTGGACATCTACGTTCGGAAAATTTTGACCCAGGATAATCTAAAGAGGAGACAGGTTGTGGTCAATTGTTGTAGCATGTGCCTGAGAAATGAGGAAACTGTTGATCACCTTCTTTTGCATTGCCAAGTGGCATGGGATAGTTGGGTTTTCATGTTAGGTTTCTTCGGGGCTTAGTGGGAGGCTTGGAGAGGTTGTATAGCGGGGCCCAGGCTCGTGATTTCTAAAAGGCCTTTGTGCATTTGGTGGTGTTTATGGCTTGAAAGAAATAGGAGATCCCTTAAAGGAAAGGAGCCCCTGATGCAGAGCATATATCGGCCTACACACCTACGCTAGACCTATGTAACCATCTTACAGGCATTATTTAGCTCATGAGAAGGCTGGATTCAATGTTCTACAAAGGTTGCAGTCAAGATAAGGCTGAATGCAAGCTGGAATCTATGTCTGCAGATAAAGGCTGCATTCAATTTTTTTGCAGGGATATTTTTTTGTGTACTTGACAGTGATTAAGGTGACTCAGATATTTTGTGTTTCCTTAGTTATTAAGGAAGCTTGATGCCTATAAATAGGCATATATGTGACAAAGATAATCAGTTTTGAATAATAGTTTTGGATTGAGATTATACTGAGAGTACATTGAGTCTAGTGAGTCTCAGAAGTCTTCCCTCATTACTTCTTTCCCTATTCTTGCTGTTCTTTACCCCTCACTCCCTCAGTCAGTCTAGCCTATTTTGTTCACTCTATTTCCTCATCCCCTTCATCTGTTTCTCCCCCTTTTCTTCTAGTCTGATCTCATCTTCTACTCCCCATCCCCTTCTTTCACTCTAGTTCTAAAATTGTATCAAAGCTAGCCTAGCCGTTCTGCATCAATTGGTATCAGAGCTTTTGTGTTCAACGTCAAATGGTATCAGAGCTTTTGTGTTCTGCATCAAATGATTCAACACAGTACCACCAGTTGTACTCTTCGGAGAAGAGCTCTCTTCGGTCAGGGAGATTATGCAGAGCATAGATAGGCCTGCACACCTACGCTAGACCAAGGTGGCCATCTTACAGGCTGTATTCAGCTCATGAGAAGACTGGATTCAATGTTCTACAAAGGTTGCAGTCAAGATAAGGCTGAATGCAATCTGGATTCAATGTTGTGCAAGCTGGAGTCGATGTGTGCAGATAAAGGCTGCATTCAATGTTCTTGCAGGGATTATTTTTTGTGTATTTGACTGAAATATTCTATGTTTTCTTAGTTATTAAGGTGTCTTAGATATTTTGTGTTTCCTTAATTATTAAGGAAGCTTTTGATACCTATATATAGGCATATATGTAACAAAGATAATCAGTTTTGAATAATAGTTTTGGATTGAGATTATACTGAGAGTATATTGAGACTAGTGAGTCTCAGAGGTCTTCCATCTATTCTTCTTTCCCTATTCTTGTTGTTCTTTACCCCTGTCAGTCTAGCATATCTGTTCACTCTATTTCCTCATCCCTGTCATCTGTTTCTCCCCCTTTTCTTCTATTCTGATCTCATCTTCCACTCCCCATATCTTTCACTCTAGTTCTAAAATTGTATCAAATCTAGCCTAGCAGTTCTACATCAATTGGCATCACAGCTTTTTGTGTTCCGCGTCAATTGGTATCAGAGCTTTTGTGTTCTCGTTAGACACCTATTGGGGTGCTGAAATTCTCCATTATTAGCCCTTTTTTGTTGGGTTCTAGGGGAAATTTGTAAATTTATGGATGAGGTAGTTGATTTTTTGGACTCTTGAGAGTTTAGGGGCTCTATTTTGCCTTGTGTAGCTTTTGAGGGATGCGTTCCCCTTTTGAAGGTTTCTCAATAAAATCTTACTTGTTAAAAAAATAATAATTTTATTTGAATTAAGCCCTTCTGAACTTTTCACCCAACATCATTGATTCTTGCCTTCTCTTTTTTGATATTGCCATCCAAATATACTGGAAATAGATTGGCACTATGGACAAAATTATTTTCGATTCTGTAACTAAAAATGAAAGGCTATCTATTGGCATTTTTAGTTGATAATTTTATTTGAATTTAGTGCATTGAACGCCCTTTTGATTGCCTTCTCAATACATTGGAAATAGGTTGGCCCTATTCAATTAAAAACATTGTTCTAGGAGTTTCTTACAAAGGAACAAATCAACAAGAAATCAAATTACTCAATTTGCATAAAGTAATGAAGCATGCACAAAATTTGTTTCACTGTCCAAAGAATTAAATTGAAACCATAGGAATGTTATAACCAAATCATGATCAATTATGGTACGTATGCCTATAAAAAGAAACTCATCATACGGGAGTCACTATCTTTTTTTCCCCCATTGCAGACATGCCAATGAATGCTACTAAGATTTTTAAGATGTGATCACTCATACATCACGTGTCCATTTGCCAGTTACTAGGAAAACCAAACAAAATCAGCATAACCATCATATGTATCTTTCATTTACCGTTCAGTTAAACAACTAATGTAAATTCATTTATGAGCGAGAATTGTCTGTGTCAATCATTTTTATTCGCTAAAAATGAATTCCAATAGAAAACATACCATGTACAATTCTGCATTACCAAGTCATTCTCAAGAAAAAGTGAAAGGGATCCTCCATGCTTACCAATAAAATCAAAATCATAGAAAGCACTTGATTTGGAAATTGACACCAAAATTCAATTTATTCAGTAAAGTTCTAATCTCTATCTCAGACATGCAATTTTAGCGTAACCGAAAAAAAAAAAAACAAGAAAAGAAAACAAAAAAAAAAAGAATGAAACACAGAAAAAAATGATTGAATGCTGAACCCGAGAGCTTGGGACAAGACTTGATTGATTAGAGATAATTGCTTTGATTATGAAGGAGTTCTTTGATGAAGTGGTATTTTGTAATTTCTGCACAGTAAAGCGCTATGCAATGAATTTTTCAAACATATCATTTGAAGATCTAAGGCCGCTAATAAGCACTTCTGACGGAGAACATGAAGATGAGAATTCAGAGAATGTTGAGGATGGTTATAGCAAGACGTTAAATACGAGACTTACAACAGTAATGATTGATCTATTGAATTGTCACCCCTTAGTTTGTTATGCAAGAATGTCCAAAACTTTACTTAACAGGAGAAAAATCACCAACCACCTTATATTGCATTGAGCAAGACCATCCAAAGCAATATTTACCTTGAAGCAGACAACAACAATAAAATAATGATTCTTTGACATAAGCACATCTTAGAATTATGTAGTTTTAAATATCTTTTAGCTTACTATCCAAAAGTAAAACCTAAATGATATCCATATGCACTGAGGAAATCACAGCCAACTAAATTAGAGAAACTCATAATGCAATAATTTATTTTTTTACACATGGCCTACCAGCACCAACACAGAAGCCAACAATTAATTGCACAAAACCAAGTTACGAGATATTTTTACCTGTGGTGAAAATCCCTATACTACAATTACAAGAAAATGCTTCTCCAAACCCAACTTGCAAGTTTGTTCAAGGATTGGAGAGGAGAGGTGGAAGAAAATACTCAGGATTCCTTTGGTTGATGAAATCCAAAGGCTTTGAAATAGGAGAGTAGTCTGGAATCTTTTGAAAGAAATAATATTAAAAAAGAAAGGGGGGAAAAAAAAAACTTCCCAAGAAAAATTTTAATTTACCTGTAAAGCATAAGCTACTAAAGTAGCATTGTCGAACCTAGTAGTATAAGGCACCTTGATTAGTTTATTATCGATTCATTGTTTTCTATATCAATAGTCTGGAGTCTAACTCAACTGCATGAAGGTCAATGACAAAATGATGGCTAAATGAAACTCCAAAATAATAAAAGATCACCGCAAAGATACCTGCCAAGAATTGACGCAGAGTACATTGACATAATTTTGCATCCATTCTTCCAGATTTAATTGATTTTGGCAATTACCCACATAGGAGCTTTCCAGATTCCATGTACCAGCAACCAAAGCATACAGTTCAGGATGAATGCGCCCAATGCTGAAAAGAAATCAAACCCGTAAGTGCTATTTCAGAATAAGTAATATTTCAGGTCAAAGAAAAGCATAGAGGCACAGCAGAATGGTAGGAAAGTAATTGTCAACTCAGTAATCCCAAATCTATGTAAAAATTCTAAATTAAAAGATAATGAAGCATACTTTTAAGAAAACGGAAATCAAATCGATACTTTTTTTATATTTAAATCCCATGTACTAATTAAAGAAAAAGGCACATGCTAGTAGAATCCAATTAATGACGTGCTAGTTGACAGAATCACTTCCAGGAAAACTAATGGACTACCGAGTGGCTCTCGTATGCTGGTGGAATCCATTTAATCAACTCATTCATTTTTCCATTCAGGTCTTTTTGTCTTCCGTTTGTATCCTCCCTAAAAAGATTCAAAACTTTAGTAATCAGATTCTGAGAAACTTCATTCGGATTTCAGAAGGGGTCTGGCTTGCAATCTTAGTGTGCCAAGGTAGCTTGGGAAGATAACAGAAGAGGTATTGCTATAAGGACTGTTATCAAGATGATAACAGTCAACTACGTAAGCAAATTATCTGACGGAGACACAGCAAAGGCGAGGACAATGCTACCGAACACACCAGCAGCCCAAACAAGTCACAAATAGCATCGAGAAACCCTTAGCAACATTTCAGATGCTAAGGGAATACCCCAAAATAGGGGTCCGAGCCTAGGAAGAGAAATTAGGCTCTGATACCATGTTGTAAAGCATAAAACGGAAGCGAAGAGATAAATAAAACAAGTAGAACACACAGATATTACGTGGTTCAGCCACTAGGGCTTACATTCACGGCACAAAGAGCCCAAAGGGCTACATCACTTTCATAATACTCTCTTAATTCATATACAATACAATGGTGGAGGCACCTTTATATAGGAAAAGAAATTATGAGAATGGAAAGAATTAGAAAATAGGAAAGGAGGATTTTTCTCCATTGATTCCTCTAGTAACACCAAATCTTCAATAATAGGAAACTGCATCAATTATTGAAAGATTTTCCTCCACTGATTCCTCCATTAAATCTTTAATAGAAAGAAACAGGTTTTGTTAACGGAGTGAAGAAATGGTGGCAGGGATATAGAATGGAAGGCACTCTGACCTTTGTGTTGGCCATAAAGCTTGAATTACTCAAGTCTAATTTGAGAAGATAGGACCTAGAGGAGTTCACTAACTTTTGTCAGGAAAGATAGAAAGTTGAGGGATATAAGAGAATTGAACAATTGAACTCCAAAGGGGGGTATGGGGTTTTGTGAGGAAATTGCTAGTCTCGTTTTAGAAAACAACTAAGGAAATCTGGGACAATGCATATTAACAAGGAATGTGGCTAGAACTTAACAAGACTATAAGAGGACTACATCTGACACACCTACTTTAACCCTAGTAGAGTATTATTGTATTACAAGAAGTACAAGGGTGAATCTCAGTCATTGTCAAGCATTTAAGTAAAAAAGCAATGAACAAAGACATAAACATAACTTCAGCAAGACAGAAGTCCTCAGATATTTGAGGTGCATTCTTACATGCTTCCAAGCGGTGTCTGGTCTTAAGATTAATGTTGGAAAGAGTGTGCTTGTCCCAGTGGGGGATGTTTCTGATATTTCCTCCTTAGCTGCAGTTCTTGGGTGTGGAGTGGGTGATTTTCCACTCCCTTATTTGGGATTACCTTTGGAAGTCTCCTCCAGGAGAGTGGAGACTTGGGATCCGGTGATTAACAGGTATGAAAAAAGATTGGCGGGATGGAAAAAACAGTATCTTTCGAAAGGGGGGAAGGTCACTCTTATTAAGAGCACCCTCTCGTCCCTTCCCACATATTTCTTATCTTTGTTTCAAATCCCATGCTCTATTGCTGAATGGATTGAAAAAATTCAAAGAGACTTTCTTTGGGTGGAAAAGGAGAGGAGTTTAAGTATCATCTTGTTAATTGGGTGCAGGTTTGCAAACCTTTGAAGTTTAGAGGTTTAGGCATTCGGAAGTTGGTCCCTTTTAATAGAGCCTTATTGGGGAAGTGGTTGTGGAGGTTCGGTAAAGAGCGTCATCGACAATGGAATGCAACTTTCCATGTTTAAACAATATCTTGGTGGAATGCAACTTTCCATGTTTAATGATATCAACAGAAATCTGTGACATTTAACTTCATCACATTTCGCTATAAGATTTTTCAAGTCTATACAGTGTTGTTAAAGGTGCACCTAGGCTCGAGGCTCAAGTTTAGCACCTGTTGTCATCCCAGGCTCACTAATGTTTTACTAGGCACGCGCCTCAGTTGTACCTCGTCCTGTTTGTGAGGTGCACCTATATTTGTTTTAAAAAATACGATTGTTCTATTTCTTAAGCCAAAAAGGGTACTTTTGGCAACTTAATAAACTTAATAAACAAAAAAGAAAGCCCATGCATACGATAGAAGGAACTTTTGTTCAAAAAAATAAAAAAATAAGAAAGCCCAAGAGTCAAAGTGTTAATCGAACAGCGATAGAATGAGATTGTGAGACGAAGACGAAGCCCTAGCTACAAAGATGAACGACGAAGACACGTCAGTTCTCTCTCTAGATCTCTCCTCTCTTCTCTCTAGATCTCTCCTCTCTTCTTATCTTTGTTTACATCTCTCTCTTCGTCTAGTTCTCTTCTCCCTCGTGTCTTTTTTTTTTTGGCTCTGTTTTTTCTTTAAATTTTTTTGGCTCTGTTTTTCTTTTCTTTTTTTTCTAGTTAACAAATTTTTTTTTTTTTTTTTTACATATTTATTTCTTTTTGTGCTTTGTTTTGCCATTCAAGAAAACACATTTTGCTTTGCCTTTCAAGAAAACAAATTTGTGCTTTGTTTTATAGTTGTTGGATGCTTGTATAGTTGATAGATTTACTTTTTTATATTTGATATTAATTTTTAGAATACTGTTATGACTTATGAGATATGAATGTTATTATGGTAGTTTAAATTTTCAATTGTGCGCCTCACTTCACTCGGGCGCGCGCCTCGCCCCTCGGCTCCAAAGGACCTCTAGCGCCTTGGTGCACCTTGGGCCTTTAATAACAGTGAGTCTATAGCTGGAAACACAGAAAAATGTTATCACATCATCTTTTACTTTCTATGTATAAGAGTTTCCTAATAAAATAAAGGAAAAGGCATAACAATTGTAAACATGGGTTGTCTGCCTGTATGCAACCAAGCCAAACTCCAAAATCTCTCCAAAAAAAAAAAAAAAAGAGGAATACTAACTCCTAAATCTTCAAAGTTCTCTGTAGAAAAAGCTTCCCAAGATATATAATTTCAAAGTTTTCCGCAGTCATATTTCTCTCATTTCAGCATGAACACATGGCTGAAATACAAGTTAAAGGGCAATCCTACATAACACGTACCGTTTCAGGCATCACCAACTAGGCCCTGAGATCAAGTGAAAAAAAAGAAAAGCAAAAAGATCCCACATAACTTGGGGAGTAAATATAAAATCCACCAAAAAGCAACCTTCTTACACATAAAGCATCTAGTTGGAACAGAAATGTTTATACTAATTCTATGACTCACCCTCACAGTAAGAATCAATCCAGGGAGTATAAAAGCATATCATATAAATCGAACTGATATAAAAAAAAAATATATCAGAACATATTATAATACTTGTATACTAGAAACCAACTCTACAGGGAGTATAAAAGATTTTTTTTTCAGGTATAAACGCATATCATATAGAGGGAACTGATACAATAATATCAGAACATATGACACACCATCATAAAATAATTGACCTTGCAATGATAAGAAATATGATACAAGAAGTTAATATTGACAGGATGCTTACACTGCACCTTCCAAAAGGAAAGGGAACACCAAGCAGTGCTGAGACAGTTACAGCAAAATCAAGCTGCAAACATTGACTTGATTAAATGCAATTGATAAGAGATAAATTCACCGTATCTACTATCCAGAAAGGAATGACCATTCTACCTGTTGGATGGAGCTAATGCACACCTTTCTTCCATCCTGATATAAAATATCAACAAAAATATAATAGTAACAATTACAATCATCATTAAAGAAAACTATTTTTTTTTTTTATACGTAAAAAATATATTAGAAAAACGTTCAAAAAGGGAATGCGTCCCTAATACACAAAAACGAAATAGCAGAAATCAAACCTACGGACCAACAGAGTCCAAGAGATCAATAAAATCATCAATCGAGGAGCATGCGCTGCCTCTTACATAACAGAAAAGAAAGCGAAGAATATGAGACTTTAGGTTTGCTAAAGACGATTCCTTTCCTTCAAAATTTCTGTTATTTCTCTCTCTCCAAATACACCACCAAACAGAGTGTGGGGCAACCCTCCAAAAATCACGAGCATGACCAGTAATAGGGCATCTTCTTCAAGCGTTAATTAATTGAAAAGAATGCTTAGGCATTACCCACTGAACGCCAAAAATACTGAATATGAGATTCCAGCAATCAGACGCAACAGGACAATGCATAAGAATATGGTCCACGGACTCGCCATCAGTTTTACAGAGACAACACCAGTTAACAATGGTATTACTTCTCTTGCGCAAATTATCCAATGTTAGAATTTTTCCCCAGGTAGCAGTCCAAACAAAGAAGGTGACTCTAAGAGGAGCTTTAGAGCGCCAAATACACTTCCATGGGAAATTATGTCCAGTAAAATTAGACAAACAATATCATGATAGAAGACTGTAGATTGAGGAGCTTGAGTTGATTTCTATAGACAGGGAGATTCAAGAGAGTTGGCAAGACCATTCACTAAGCGGTAGTGGAAGTGTTGATATTTGCAACAAAAATAAGGCCCCTGAGCCATCATATCTCTTTTTCATCACTATTGGAGTATTGTCCAGGATGATCTTATGTCAGTGTTCCTCCAATTCTTTGAGTTTAGGTCCTTCGAGTGGAACCTAAATGCATCATTTTATTTTTATAAGTAAACCTAAATGCATCATTCATCGCTTTGATTCCAAAAAAAAAGGAGTGAGAACTCATATCTATGGAATCTTAGGCCTATCAGTCAGGTGGGCAGGGCAGTGTTCACAAGGTTCTTGCCAAGACTTCGGCATTTTGACTAAAGAAAGTTGATTCCTAATTCACAAAATGCATTTGTGGGTTGCCAGATTTTAGATGAAGTTCTTGTGACTCATTTGTAAGTTGGACAACAAGAGAGATATGATCAGTTAATAGGTATTTGGAGCTAATTGAAGGAGCTGATTAGAAAATATGTCTCAATTGACCACTTTTATGCTACGGTTAATGACATTTAGGTAAAATTCTTTGTAAGCTCAAGAGGGCTTAGACAAGGATATCCACCTTCTCCTTTCCAATTTTTTTGGTAATCAAGGTGCTGATCAGGATAATCAAGAAATAAGGAGGTTAGATTGGTAATATGAGAGGGTATATCTATCAGTCCGCACCTTCTCTTTGTTGATGATATTTTTATCTAGTTCGGAGTTCAAAATTTCAATTTAGATACTTGCAATGCATCCTAATGTGCTTTGGACCAGTTTAGGGTCGCGGATCAATTTGACAAAGAGAAACTATCTTAATTGCGGAGGTAGTGAATCCATGTGGTCCACTGTGAGCTTGGGCTACAAAGTCAATAATCTCCCTGCCTCTTGAGGAAGCATTCAAGGCAACCTCGATGTCATACTCAATGGTAGAAAGGTCTGAGGAGAATAGTAGGATGGAAGAGATAGTATTATCAATTTTAAAAAGTTGTCCATGTATTCCACGTCTATTCTCACCATTACGTCCTCGATGGCAGAGGGGAAATGGGGAAGGAATTAATTTATCATATGATGGCTTAGAACACTATGTTCTCTCTTTTGCATTGCAGGGAGCTCGAAATATGAACATTGAGTCAGTTTGATAAAGCCAACCTACACAAATAGTTGTGGTGATATGCAGTGGGAAGCTAAAATAATGTGGAGGAAAGTTATAGAGGACAAATTCAGAGATGGAATAGGGTGGACCTTTAATCAGGTTACATGCACAAATAGAGATGATTATGGAAAGACATTAGTAAAAGCTGAAAAGAATTCTCCAAATGCATAGGGTTTGTTATCATGATGCCAATAAATTCAATTCTGGCATAACATGAGATGTGGGAATGAACCATTGGAAGTTGGTTACCAAGTCTATTTGAGATTGCATCAAAGTCAATAGGACTTAGGTTGGCTAATTCCTTTCAAAACATGGAATCTGTACTTCTACTTTAACTTTTGATTAGTGTTTTCAAAAGTCAGTTATGTTATTTGTGTAACCTCAATCCCAAGAGCAAAATCAGAATTTAAAGCTAATCAAAGGACAAAAAGATAATGCAACTCTCAATAAACAAGGGCTCGTATTCATGAGCATTTTTCCGGTTTTCACAAATTAACATGCTACATCCATTAAAATCTTTTTTTGTTAAATTTGTTTTTGGAGCTTTCCTTGTTGAAAATCCTACTTCTGTAAGGACAGGACACTTGATCGATCAAAAGCCATTGGAAATGTGTTGATGGATCAACACCAGACTCGGTCATCCAAACCTAAGAATTTACGTTTCCAAATTAAATTCAACACTTGTAATCCAAACCTGTTATGACTCTACATATAGAACATATATGTTCAGAAATCTTATGCTAATCACTTCTAAGCTGTAAACAACTATATCTGAGCAAATCTAGAGCATATTGAGTGATCCTTACTTTTTTTCACACACACATCATTGCTTATGGGATGGTGGGTGTATATAGTGAGTGTTGATCATCATTATCCATATAGCAATAAACACCAGAGATCATCTACACAAAGAAGAATGCCTTACCTTTATAAAATTAAATAACTAAAAACATAATCGATGAATTTGTATATCTGTCCTTTAGTTAATTTAAAATTTATGTTATAAGTTGTTTAAATTCAAAACATTATTTGATTTGTTAATTATTAATCAATTAAAAGCTATCCCACCCACCCACCCCAACCCCCTCGCGCGCGCGTGGTTCAAATCATGGCCTTGCGCAATACTCGTCATCAACCTTAGTTTCTCAAGTGGTTATGGTTTCATACCATGTCAAAATCCAAGAGACCAGCAGAGAGTGGGAGTCTCTCTTTACCATAACTCTAAAAGATGGGAGGTGGAGTCGAAGGATGCATTTTTAAAAGTGTCTATAGCTCCCCTGTGCAGCAGGATAGAGCATATTCTTGTGAGATGGAATCATGAAAGAATTGGTCATTTTGAAGTTCGATCCTAATACAGAGTTTTATTTGGTGGAGATGGGCTGAACTCCTTTGCTGAGTTAGTTAGATCCTATGTCAGGAATAAACTCCATCCAACTTAAGTATTTTGTATTTGAGAAGGAAAAAAATAAGTACACAAAAAGTATATAAGGTGCGAAAAAATGTAAAGAATGGGAATCAGTACAATTTACATTAAAAAGTACAGAAAACTTGCAAAACTTGCATTTAACAAATGTTCCTCATGTTCCTAACCTAGGAACAAATTTGGTCGATGTCAGTAGTGTTACAAAACAACTTGTATTGTGAATTAATTTCGAAACAAATAATAATAAAATGAATAATTGATTTTTTCATTAATTTTTTTTCCTGAAAGCTACAGGTATCAATATGATTTATATTAAGTAATATGAAAGTGAGTGACAGAGCAATTCATTTGACTGAGGTCACACACCTGTGCTCCCGCCCTCCCTCCTTCCCCCACTTGCTCTCAAGTTCATTTTAATCATTAACAAGAATGCAAGGATTCAACAGAAGAGAGAGGTAATACCAAATCTAGTCGACAAGATGAAGTATTAAGTTCCTCCGGTACAGAAGATGGAGGTTTCTTCAAACTCATTGCAAAAATAGATGTTTCAACCTGCGTGATACTCTTCTTTCAGCTTGCAACGGGATTTGATTAACATATTAAGTTTCTAAGAAAACAGAATTAATATTAAACCTCTTCAGCATTCCCTCCACCATGATCACCATTTATAGTTTGCCCATGATCTCCCATTACGAGAAGTAAAGTGTTCTCATTCAAGCCACCAGCTCCAGACTGACTCCCCAGCGCTTCAATAACTTTCTGAAGTAAAACAGTGGTCAGTTTATAGCTATGAGGGGACAAGAATGGCAAAAACATAAAAAACTAAAAACCAATCTTCCAAGTCAACAAGCTTGGCGAGGTAACCCCACCATGGGCAAAAAATATGAGATAATATTTATTCCCAATAACCCAAGATATAATCGTCATGCAACAAATAAACAAGTGTAATAACCAAAAAATTATATTTTCAGATAGGAAAATGATATTTTTTATGACATAATAACCCTGACTGAGTATTGTGACTGATTGAGAGCTTTTGAATGTATTTGTGTAGGGCCCACATAAGTTCCAAAAGATATTCCAAAGACTCGGAATAAGTCACGATACTAGTTGGTTGGAACCTTGATGTCATTTGTATTATTACTCTTTCAGATAATCTATATTTGAAGTTTGGACAAGTTTAATGTAAAGAAACAGTGTACCAACCAAATGAGAATACTGGAACCAAAATGCAAACTGAAGAAAAGATTTATTCTGTGCTTGGTTCTCATAAAGAATGGCAGAAAGGAAGGAAAATCCTTAGAAATGAAAGAAATCCATTTCTGAGCAGTTTCCTTGCTTTCCATTCCTTACCTGATAGTTAACAAGTTTTCGACACTGACCAAAAGTGTTAAATACTAAGTTCAATAAGGTTACCTCTAAAACTCCATTGTACTGCTCCAACTTTTCCACCATCGGAGTGGAATCAACACCAAATATATGCCCAGCATGATCCTGGACCAAACAAATTATCATGATTACTACTCTTTATGTTTTGTTGATCCAGCATTCAACAATAAATGCTGAAAGAAAAGAAAACATATTCATAACCTCAATCAAATTGATACAAGTTGTCAGGAAAAAGAACTAACCATCAATATTAATCAAAACAGTGTAAGAAAAAGCATTGTGGTGATGTAATAAAAATAAAATGTTACTGATCGACCACATTTCATAGAGAAAGTACACAACTCAATTTTGATCTTATCACATAGAGATATGAACATTTTATCAATAACTTTGATGGAGTAGCATTTACTTGACAGGAGGCTTACAATCAGCTGAAACGTGCATTGCATTTACAATTTATATCAATATATATATATATATATATTTATATATGTGATGTTGTGGCCTGAATTTGGTGCCGGGTCGCAACCTGGCGGCCCATTTGTTGAGCTTTGTGTGGGCCCAAGCCCACCAAAGCTCTGAGGGTTCAGGGGCTTGGCCCCGAGGAAAATGTTTGACCCATTTTTTCTCATGAGTCATGGACCCTAATTAGTACTCTCTTGTAGCCCAATATATAAGGGCGTTTAGGGTTTGGAGTGGGTGGTGTAAGAGACACTGAAATTCGTACGGAATTGAGAGTGGGGCTGAAACTTGTAATCTCCAATTTTACACATAGTGAAGTCTTTCGCCAAATCTCCACCATGGATGTAGGCTTTGCCAATACAAATCTTTGTGTTCTTTGTGTGGTGTGATTATTTTTCTGTCGCGTTTCGTAATTGTTAATTGTTGCTTGGTTTGCTGCGTTTGTCGTAACAATATATATATATATATATATTAGTGGTTCGAACTAATTCTTATTTTGCCTAAATAAGTATTTCTGAAGAAAGAACATATCACATTCCGCATAATCCTGGTTATTCTCCATAGCATTTTGGTTTAGTCTCCAGAGAGACAAAATGATAAAAACAAACACAGTATTATCACAGGTTGGCACATGCCGAGCTAAAATATATATTGTGTGTGTGTGTGTTCTGACATCCAATATTTGGAGAAAACATCTAACAGCTTAAGAAATACTTATAAAAGAAATACAATTCGAAAGCATACCACACCAAGAAAATGTGCTATGAGGACATCCCAATCTTCTTCATACAAGGATGGAAGCAAGTGTTTGGTACACCCGTCGTCCACCTGGCAGCCAAAATGTAACAAAGATTCAGCCCCAGGGAAAACAATGTGTGAGAAATTATATAATTTAAGCACCTAACAGTTTGAGGCAAATGAGGTCAATGTTTAATATATGCAGAAACAAGAAATTATTATAATCAAGGAATACCGTATGAAGATCTTTAACATTAAAGGAGGGAAAGGGATAAGACCCATTAAAATGGTGAGGAAACAACTGCAACCAGGTATCATCCCCCATCATTACTACTCGCTTTCCATTCTGAGCCAACTGTAAATGGTATTATATATTAGACGTGTACAAGTACAAGAAGTGACATATACATCTAAATTTTGAAACATAATAACTGTCTTATAAACAGAACTCGCAATACTAATAAGACCAACAGCAAGAACAAATATCTAATGGGACCTGATATAACAAGTTGTCTTCAACAATTGCTGAAGCGCCAAAGCTATTCCCTACATCAATAAAAGTTGGAAGTCCACCAGTTGTCAAGCCCTGAGAAAATAATAAGGGCACCAAGACCCTCCCAAAAGTTAAATAAATAAAAAATATATATATTTAAAAAAATAAATAAATAAATAAAATTTAAAAAAAAAAACCTCATGTAGTTGAAATCTAGCTTTGCATACCATCATAACCAATATAAGACTATTTTTGTAAGAAAAGAATAGAAAAAAAAAATGAACTTTTTGGACCTAATGCTGCTAGATTACTCTAACTAGATATAAAGCTTTATGACAACAAACACATTACAAGTAAATGAAACCCATAAAAAATGCATATAAATCTGGCACAACTATTAATTCCTCCCAACTGAGAAATTTAAGAAAGCACACCAAACAGAGAAACCCAAATTAATGCTTTCAGGAATTCAAATCAATGATTCAACACAGTATGAGAGTAAGAGATCTACATTCTGACACGAAGAAACGTAATAATGAAAAAGAGCTTTAAACTGCACTCTTTAGAGCACATTTCTAGTGTTTTACTCGTGCATCTCCATCTACTTGTTTATAAATGAAATGAAAGTGAGAGCTCTGAAATCCCAAATGGGCATAGAAGACCAAATTTGTTCATCGAATGTAGAAATAGAATACAGGTGAAGGACTGAGATCACCCATGGACTGAATTGAATTTCTCTTCAAAATTTATAAAGTTCTTGACATAGTCAAGAAAGCTAGCCCCAAATCATTATATGACATGAATACGGGAACTTGTAATGGATAAATAAGTTTTGGTTTACAGAAATGGTTAACAAATTTCAAATTCTGAATTAGCATGATGAGTTTCCAACCCTCAACATGAACAGGTACAGAGCCATTAAGGATCCCGCCACCCCCACTGAATTTTTATTTACTATAAACTATATTCCCAAAATTCTGTCAAAATTACACACACACATATATATTTATATCACTAAAATTTTAACGAAACCCCTTATAAATGTCCCAGAACCTGCAACAGTCATTCCCTCTCTCTCTCTTTAAACTTCACAATATACTGGGCTTCTTGAATGTGGGTTGACCAAAAATTTTCTAAGATTTGTCTTTAATTATCATCTTGGTCTACCAAAAAAATCTAAGATTAATCATATTATACTTGTTTTTTTTTATAAATAAAGGTATATTAGAAAGCGTTCAAAAGGGGAATGCATCCCGAAAGCTATACAAGGGCTGACGCCAAAGATGGGGTCCTAGGGACCCAAAAACCCCAGAAAATCCACAATCTCATCTAATGATATACAATTTCTCCCCATCACCCAGCTAAAAAAGAACTAACAATGGTAAATTTCAGTGCCCCAATGGAAGATTCCTCCCCATCAAAAGATATTTTGTTATGTCCCTTCCAAATGCACCACCAAACACAGAGGGGTGTCGCCCTCCAAAAATCACGGGTGTGGGCCCCCACACAATAGCCTCTCCAAACTCCAATCAAATCCCTTGGGGACCGAGGCATAACCCAATGGATGCCGAACAAACCAAAAATAAGACTCCAGCAATTCTGATCCACGGACTCTCCATCATTTTTACACGGGCAACGCCAAATCTGTCTTCTCTTTCTCAGATTGTCCAAGGTCAAAATCTTGCAATATTATACTTGTTAGTTTACAATTTCTAATTTTTCTCTCAAAATAACAAATTTTATAAGTATACATGGTTCTTGTTAGAATTTTTTTACTTTTAATTGCTTTGTGTTAGTTTGATAATAATTGAAATTGGCTTATTTACTGAAAAAAAATTAATTTCAGTGCCTAATGGAAGATTCCTCCCCATCAAAAGATATTTTGTTCCGTTTCTACCAAATGCACCACCAAACACAAAAGGGTGTCGCCCTCCAAAAATCACGGGTGTGGGCCCCCACACAATAGCCTCTCCAGACCTCAATCAAATCCCTTGGGGACCGAGGCATAACACAATGGACGCCGAACAAACCAAAAATAAGACTCCGGCAATTCTGAGCCATGGGGCAATGCAGAAGAAGGTGATCCACGGACTCTCCATCATTTTTACACAGGCAACCCCAGTTAACTGTGATCTGTCTTCTCCTTCTCAGATTGTCCAAGGTCAAAATCTTGCCACAAACTAATTATATTATACTTGTTAGTTTACAATTTCTATTTTTCTCTCTAAACTACAAATTTTATGAGCATACATGGTTCTGGTTAGAATTTTTTAAATTTGAATTGCTTTGTGTTAGTTTGATAATAATTGAAATTGGCTTATTTACTGATAAAAATTTAATTGAAATGGAAGCATGAGCGATTTTAGATGGAAATATATGTTAAGTTAAAATTTTTGTTTATTCTGAGAGTTCGAATTTTTTTTTTTTATCTTACCCGCCCCCTCTCAACTAATTTTCTGGCTCCATCACTAAACATGAAACATCAACAATACAAACTACAGTATTTTGTGAATTTCAAAGCTCAAGAAACAACAAAATATTTTTTTTTTCCAATGAAGAACAACTAAATGTTGCTTAAATTGGAAGGTTAATAAAATAATTTACACTGATAATATCCAAGTACATTCATCCATGGAAGCAAGAGGAGGACAACAATATTTTACCTTCAAACGTTGCAAACTAGTAGTAGGTGGATCAGCAATGGCTTTGAAAATCCTTGCTGATGATCCTTCTTGAGATGCCAATTTATGTAACACCCGTAATTTGTCCATCCATGGTTTTTTCTCTGTTATCAGTCAAAATCCCAGACAAGCAATTATTCATAAGCAACAAGAGAACAATGTTTGCCACTATATGTTTTGAACACAAAGGTTCCATCCTTCTTTTTTTCTTGGAAAAACGCTAAGCTACTAGACTCAAATAGTTTATATCATCTCGTGTGGGACATATCTAGTCTACTAAACAAAAATAAAGTCCTCATCGTTCATTAATGATTCTAACACTAAATTGAAACAGTGATGTTAATTTTTCTTAAAGAGATGATCAAGTACTGTCAGCAAATTCACAACTCCTACCATATGATTAAAATAAAAAGTAAAAAAAAAAACAGGAAACGAAAAAATTTAATGAAAATGAGATAAACAAAAGGGAAAAAAAAACAATCATTTTGGGTAGATTATCGAAGTAAATGCTTACCTTCGAAGAAAGTACTGGGAGCAACGAAATCAAACCTGAGAAAAAATAAATAAATAAATAAAAATAGCTAGTAAGAGACGCAGTATGTATATATCTATATATCTATATAGAGAGAGAAAGAAAAAGAATACCTGAGAGCATCAAGAACGATGATGATGAGGCGATCAATGGCGGGTTTGGTCCAAGAGTTGGAATTGGTAGGGGGAATACAAGGAGAGTTTAAGACATCGGAGGAATTGCTGTAGTGTGGAAGCTCCGTGCGAGTGAGGAGAAAGCCACTGGTGAAGAACAGAATGGCCACACAGTGAAGAATCATTATCAGGACGAACACCAAAAATGGCCGTTTCTCTATCCTCCACCCCATCTTGATCGCTATCACTAAACTAACCTATCTTCTCAGTTGTTAGTCCGAAAGGTTGCTACGGGTACGAGGTTACTAAATATACAGATGTCAACGGCCCACGGGTGGTTTTGGGTGGACCGGTTTTGGGGCCTTCTTCCTCTTCTTCGCCCAAAATAGTTCAGAAGTAAGAAATTCTTTTTTAATTTTTCACTCAAAATTTAAACAATTCATATTTAAGAATAAACTAAAACAAAATTATTTTAAAATTTACATTTAACTTAACCAAATAAACATTAACATTATTTCAACAATAAGAGTAATTACGGATAACCTTCCCTGGACGAAAATCAACTAAAACAAAATTATTTTAAAATTTACATTTAACTTAACCAAATAAACATTAACATTATTTCAAGAATAAGAGTAATTACGGATAACCTTCCCTGGACGAAAATCGGCTCCAATGGAAAGGGCTCCTGTTCTCGCCGGTTCAAATGTGTAGCCCAGATTGGGCCACGTCAATCAAAAAAGTTACTGTTGAAAAAGTTACCCTTAGTTGTTACACAGTGTATTTGTACTGTATATGTTAGTGTATATATATATTATATAGTATATATACATTGTATATATATATTACACAGTGTATATATATATTTGGGGGATTTTACTAATATATCCTTCATATTCAGAAATCCCCAAAAATATCATTCATTTTCTAGGTCGTCGAATAGGTCAGAATGGAAGGGAAGGGAAGGCGAATATTGGAAGAAGGAGAAGGACTTGGAAGAAGATCGCGATAAAAGGTTATTAAAGTTGTCGGACTTAGGTTATCGGAAGTGGAGTTAGAAGAAGATCGCGAGAAGAGGTTGTTATAGTTCTCAGACTTAGGTTTTTGGAAGTGGAGTTGGAAGAAGGTCGTGGTTGTTACAGTTCTCGGAGTTAGGTTTGCAGAAGGTTTTCGGAAGTAGAGTTGGAAGAAAAGTCGCGGCTGTTACCGTTGTCAAACTTCGAGTTTTCTTTCAAAAAGTTCTGTTCATCCCTTTCCAAACGCAGAGGTTTTAATTTGATTGAATATACTATATTAAATTCTGTTTTATTAGTTTTATTTGATTATTTGTGAAATTCTAAAAAAGTTATTGGTGATAAATAGTACAGTATAATTTGATTGAATCCTATTAAATTCTGTCCATCCCTTTCCAAACTTAGTGGTTTAATTTGATTGAATATACTATATTAAATTTTGTTTTATTAGTTTTGTTTGGTTATTTGGAAATTCTAAAAAAGTTATTCGTGATAAATAGTACAGTGTAATTTGATTGAATCCTATTAAATTCTGTCCATCCCTTTCCAAACTTAGAGGTTTAATTTGATTGAATATACTATATTATTTTATGTTTTATTAGTTTTGTTTGGTTAGTTGTGAAATTCTGAAAAAGTTATTCATGATAAATAGTATAGTATAATTTGATTGAATCCTATTAAATTCTGTCCATCCCTTTCCAAACTCAGAGGTTTAATTTGATTGAATATATATATTAAATTATGTTTTATTAGTTTTGTTTGGTTATTTGTGAAATTCTGAAAAAGTTATTCGTGATAAATAGTACGTATAATTTGATTGAATCCAATTAAATTCTGTTTCATTAGTTTTGTTTGGCTATTTATTACTATTAAATTGTGAAAAAATTAATGAAAAATTATGAAAATTTTATTCGTGTAAGGCAATGCAATGTTTTATACAATTTGTAATGGTAATTGGTGTGTTGTATCTGTTATTGGGTAGTATGATTTTCTTGTTGCACTTTTTTGCAGTCAATTGTCTGTTTGTTTTATCTGTTTGTAGTTCAAATTTTGTTGACTAACAATTGGTGGAAAGGTTGTTTGTGCATAATAGAGTGTGTTTTGCTGCGCTGTAAAAGACTAGTTTAGAAATGGTTCGGCAGAAATCGATAGCTCGAAAGAAATGTCTTATACGAAAAAAATACCTATATGGAAAAAAAATTGACGAACAATATCGTTCATCCACCTCTTTCTCCTACTCTCCAATGTATAATGCAAAGCATCCGTAATCAATCTTCTTCTGTAGGTCGTACACCTCCCCTCCCCCCCTAAATCATCTACTCGTACCCTTAAATCATCTGACCTTGCTGATGAGGATTATATTGTTAAGGCGGAAGAAGATGATTATGATCCCCAACCAAGTAGTAGTGCATCAGTGAATAGTCTGCGTCGTGGAGGGGGAGTTTACCTTTTGTTTAAGTAAGTATACATTCATATTAATATTCATGTTCACAATAGCATTTTTATGAATTATGGTTCCCTATTGAGCAAATATATTTTTCATTTGTCTGATATTTACGTTGACATGGAAATTGATTGTTTAGGATTTGGAATTATTTATAATGGTACAGCATAATTTCTGCATGCATTTGAAATGAAAATTTCTTTTACTAATGTGGTACTTTGGTAATTATTAAAGTTTAGGAAATTTTTGGTACAACATGTTTATCTTTCAATTGATAAGTGTATAAGTAAGTTGTGAAATAAGTTGTGAAGCATATGTATTGAATTGAAATCCTAATGTTGAGTTGGTGATATTATATATGATATCGTGTGTATCAGGGCTGCTTTCATGAAGAATTATCAACGAGTGCATGGCCCAATGAAGTGCGGTGATAAAAAATATTGGAATAGAAATGCAAGGATGCATGGAATGGTATGAGCATGAAGGATAAGGCTCCATATTATGAGGAAAAAAGATTGCGCGATTTGGAGTTCAAAAACTGTGGAGGTTTACCAGTGAACAAAAAGAAGAAGAAGGTAATTTGGGGAGTTTGATTAAATTTTTAATTGAATTTGTTATTGTTTTGATAACATAATATACAGTAGAAAAGAATACAATTGATGCTTCCTTACTGGTAGTTAAATGAAATTATTAATGTGACATTATATTTATTGGGATGTTATAGGTTGAATACAAGATTAAAACTGGGTGGAACAAATGCTCGATCTCAAAATTCATTAACACAGTATCTAAACTTGGAGACGAAAAGAGGAAGGATGTGGCAGATATAGGTTTCGGCAATTTGTTGAACCTACAATGTTAGCATTTGTCTACAATACTCTTTGATTACATCATTGGGCATTTAGAGATACAGAAATGACGCATTAAACTTGAAGATAATCAATATCTCACAATTAATGCAATTGATGTCCACAACATCCTCGGCTTACCTGCTGGAATCACAGACGTGCCTACATGTCAGCATTTTAAAGTTGATTGGATAAGTGAAAGTGGATATCAAAGTGGGTTGCATGAAAATGTTCTAAGGGAAAGGGTAGAACAATCTGAGCCCGGCGAAGATTTCAAAAGAGCCTTTATGATTTTTGCATGTGCCGTTTTTCTAACACCTAATGGACGTTACAGTGCGCATGTAAAAGAATTAAGGCTGTTCATAATGTGAATGAAATCAAGTCTTACAACTGGTGTACATATATACTTGAAACTTTAATGGATCACTTGGGTGAATCAGAAGAAGGTGAGAAAGTAAAGCACGAGTATACTGGATGTGTGATCTTCCTGTAGGTAAATAACATAACATACTTATATTTTACAAAATACTTTATTATTTATGTCATTAGTATGAATCATGACTGATTAAACATGCTGCAATTTAATTCAGCTTCTATATGTGATGAGGTGTAAAGTGCAATACCCTTGTTATCCCACCACCGGCGATAAAACTAGTCTTGGTTTTTGGGACACTTGCCCTTATACGCGAACGCTTAAAATGAGAAGTTTTGGAATGGGTCAGGTATTACAGTAAATTTTAAAAGTATTTGCAAGTTCTCAATTTTTGTTATATTACATGATACCATTTCGTTACTTACGTACATTAGGTTCGAAATATTTATATGGAATAGTTAATTCCTTTCAAGGCGAATGTGTCCCATTCTCCGTCGTCGTCGTGGTCTGGAGGTGAAAAAGACAATGGTAGTTGTTCGGAAAGTGAGGTTGAGGTAACGATAATATTACTTTACGGTTAATGAGTATGAATGAAATTGTGAATATGCAATTGATTAGTGACAAGCAATTACAATTTTGTATGCAGCGTTGCGTTAAAGAAATTCACAACAAAATGGAAAGAGAAGCAGAAAACAGAAAAACGTTGAAGAGGAAGGTTAAGAAAATGGACAGTTTGGTGAGAAAAAAGTCAAAAGGGGCTGGAAGAAAAGCAAGTGTTTGTACAGCAGATGAGGGAGCATCTGTTGAGGACAAAGATGCGTCACAAAATTCTGAAAATGAAATTGAGAGGGAAACATTTTACTACCCCGTTCACATAGGTGAGGAACCAGAATTTTGCGGTACAGATCATGCCCACTTTACTCCCACCAGCAATAACTTACTAAATGAGGATGAAAGGATAGAGTTGAACGATGTTGTGGACAGGGCTTTGGAGGAGAACCTAGGAGCATCACATACAAGTCCCGGTTGTTCAGTCCCTGATATTTCCTTATAAAATTTACATGGTAAAGAGAAGGATGCGATGGGATAACTCAAAAGAGGTACCATATTACTTCTTTCCATGGGTATCTAGGGATAGTCAGAAAATTCAATTGACTCCAAAGCAGAAGAAATTATTGAGTTATGCTGCTGTGTGAGGTCATGATGAAGGATAAGTGTAACCCACATTTGTGAATTTCCTAAGTCCATATATTGTTGTTCATTATATTTTCCCTCTCTAATTAGTTAGTACGAACAATTGTATTAATGCATGTATACTAATTTGTTATATCATAATTACATTTGTTAGTGAAATTCTGATTTCCATGTACGATATGCATCTTTCTCGGACGGAGATACACGAGTTGTTTTACTCGAACTGGATCTCGAACTTGGTGCATGGATTTACACAACACATTAAAAATAATTGATATGCATTTTTACGGTTATGATATGATGAAGCTATTACAATTTCATTTGTCAATTCTGATGGTAAAATTATGGGCAATGGTGTTGAATGAAGAGCAAGGAGGGAAATTGAATCACTACTATTTTGATAGTTGCGCTGAACAGTTTATGAAAGAACACAATGTCAATAAATATGACACTGCAAAGAAGCGTAGGCCTCTGATAATAA